TCTCAGCTGGGCTTGAGGCACTGAGGAAAGATTTTGTCATTGACTCAGGTATAAGCCGGGTTTCTCAGCAAAGAGCAAAAGTCCTGGCTGCTGGGGAATCCAAACATCCCAGTCCTGGTTGCACCTACTGCCCTTAACCTCCCGTCTTCAGCTATAGGGCATTAAAGCTGCCTGACAGTCAACAAACTTCAGCCTAGTCCTGGGCAAAATGGTGCCCAGAGACCAGGATTTACTGAGTCTGACAAGGCTGCAAATGCGGGTAGCAGCCAGGAAATTACCGCAGTCTGTGTTAAACCCAGTCGCCACGTGTCATTCTGCAGCCAGGACGCTGTAAAGCTTGTCTTGTCCCATCCTCCTGACCCCACCACATCCAGGTTTGCTCCCGAGCCTTGGTACAGACTCTTACTGAGTTTTTCAAGCCGCAGCTCTTCACAGCAACCCGTGGTGGAAACAATGAGTTTTGGGGCAGGGATCAGACCGCAGACAAACCTGGATAAACATAACCAGACCCCTTGCTCTTGCAGAAACAAACCACCAGCACCATTTCTGTCCCAGCCAGTGCTAGCACACGTCGGACCCTCGGCTCCTCACAGCCTGATTAGCTAGAGACCCAAGAACAACCTGAGGCCATGGGTGGTCTTCAGCCAGTCTGGGCTTCCGTCTGCGTGTCCAGGGGAAGCGAGGCCAAGGAGAGTTTCTCTAGTGACTTCCATCTGATGAAAAGAGGCAGCAGGGACCGACTGTCACTTGAGCAAAGGGACATTCTACTTGCCTGAGCGAAGACTGCCCGCCTAACGCAGGTGCTAACAGACACCTAGGCAGTTTCAGGTTGCCACCACGCTAGTTTACAAAGGGTTTGTTAAACTTGCTCCTAATGGGTTTAACATCGCTAGAAGCAAGGTGCTCCTTTTTGAGAACAAGCATCCACGCTACCTACGGCTCCTGTTCAGCGTCAGGCCTCGCGGTGTACCGTCCCCACCACCCTCACGCAGGCAAGCCCGTGCTCCGCATCACAAGGTGGTGTTTGGCCAGTCCCCAATCAAGCCACTGCTGCCTTTTCCTTCGTTTTAACCCAACCCTGCTGCAGGACCTGGTACTGTCACCCAGCCTTGGGGGCATCCTTCTCTCCTTACAAAACACCTTTCAAACCCCAGCAATCCTGGCTGAGATGATAAAGGCCAAAGAGATCCGTGTGGGAACCCTCTCAGATTTTTTTTGCCCTGTGAGTACGCAGCCCCGGGTAGGGATATTATCCCAAGCCACGTCCACAGGAGCCGACGCCGTCTTCTTTCCTCCTGAAGGGAGCACAGACCTCAGCTGGCATTCTGCAGCGCTCACACAAGGCAGAATTTATGGAAGAGCCTAATAACAACTAGAGTGAGCGTTTACCTCCTTTTTCCTTTATAATTTTTGCTCTTCTGCAAGAACCACTCAGCTGTCCCATACCCTCCCTATACTCCCCTGGATTTAATCCTCTTGTTCTCTTCGCAGTTCCTGTGCTTTGTGTTTGTCTTTACCGATACCTTCTCCCAAGCTCCTACCCGTATGAGAACCAGAAGTTGAAGCTGGATAATCTGCCTAGCAACAAATGCATTAGGCTGCTGCACTGGGGAAATCTAGCTGGGATCGTTGATCTTCGCAGAGTCAGATCCAGAAATGTTGAAATCTCGGGAAGGATGCTCTTTTCCACCACACGCAGCCCGACTGCGTTCCCTGCATTACTCTGTGCGTTGAGCCTTGTAGGCAAGCGAAGGAAGGCAACGAGCAGAGAACTTCAGCAGTGTAGAGGGGAGAAAAGGCGTCGCTCTTTAATCACCAGCTTTTATTTACATAAACCTATTCGAAGGCTGATGTCTCTGACAAAGAAGAACGCTCATGAACGTTACAACAGGCCTTCGGCAAGGCAAGGCACACAGAAAGCAGACACCAAATCTAGAGCGACTTGTGTGGAAGAAAAACAGGCTGTGAACTAGGAGCGAGCAGGGCTCTGTGCCTCACGGATGGGATCTGCGGCGGGCTGAGATGGGAGAGATGGGAACCTCAGGAAGTTCTTAGCAAAGATCCGCCCGCACAAGAAGCGGCATCGACTTCACGGCAGCAAGAGAGCAAAATCTTACAAATGTGCTTCCACAGACACTGTTCTTTAATCAACGTGGCCTTTCACAGAAAGTCCAAAAAGTGAGAGAAATGCTGACAGAACAGAACCACCGTGTTTAGAAAGCAGGGGGGACATACCTCTGGGAGGAATCTGTGTTTTCAATCCTCTTCTGCTGGCCTATGGAATCTGGGAGAAGAGCCCAGATAGCTGGAAACCCCCCTGTACAGCAGAAATCTCCCATCACAGCCAAATTCTGAATACTCACAGCCTGTTCACAAGGTGTGAACCCTTCGTGGCTTTCCCTCTAAACAGGAAGGCGACCAATGGCAGGACTTAAAAAGAAACGGACCATCTTTCAACACTGATGCCTATGAACGAGAGCATCAACGCCCCTACAAGGCAGGGAAGAGCACACCATCATCACATACAAGCCACACCACTCCTAAAGGAAAAATACATTATTTTTCCCCCATTTCCTTTAGACAGAAGTTTCTCTTGACATTTCTTTTTGACACAGAATAGCCAAAGTTTATTTTATACCTACATCTACATTTGCGTGTGTATAAACACACGTGTATCTCAAGCGAGACGAGGACCCCATAAAGCTCTCGTATAAACTGTGCTTCGTTGCCGATTTCAACGCAAATGGAGCGCATGGAGCCAAAGTAACTACATAAACGCACACATTTTTCACTAACCTGTAAGTTAAATGAGAAGCAACGTGTCGGAGTAAGGGCAGCTTTAGCTGAAGAACGAGTTTTGCTCACAGAAATTTGTAATACCTTGAACTGGGCTGTGGATCGTTCAGAATACTTGCCTGGTAAATAAATGACAAATGACCAGCTCCCAGTCTTGCTTTGGCTTGTGAACAGAATGTTTCCGATGGAAAGAACGATCCTGTAACATCCTGTAACCACAGTAAAACACTGTGGTTTTAGACCAAGGCTCCTCATTTCAGATGGAGCCAACTGAAGTTCCACTAATTAATCCACACCGAGCTCTACAGCAACCAGAATTCTTTGCCAATTACACCCGTGAAAAGTATAACCTTTATGTGATGAAAGGACACCCGCTGTAAATCTCCACGTACACACAAAATGGGTTAGAACATCCTGTTTGGGTTTTCACTGCCTTTTTAGAAAATAACAAAGAGCTCTGTTTAGGATGAATTAAGATGAAAGTAGAAAACATTTTCACTCTCCAAGTTTCACCTTGCCACAGAGTAGACTTCAGTAGTGTCTAGGGAAGGAAAATGCTGCTCAAAATACTCAGCACCATGCTGCTTGAAATGTCTTTTTTAAAGAGATCAACTAAAGCAGTTCAGTCCTCGCAGAATCTTCTTCCTTTGGCTGTAAATATCCCCATGGTAACAAGCGATGGTATCAGACAGACAAATGAGCAGAAGCAGAGGAGGCTGAACGAAATCCTTCAAACACAGAGTCTCCAGAAACAAAACGGGACAGGACAAGCCAATCGCAAAACAAACACTCTGCAAACCTTATCACAACCGCTGCTTGAACTCCCCAGCCCCTAATTGTTCTGATCTCTTCATTCATTCCCCACAAGTTTTTTTTTGTTTTTTTGCTTTAAGTATTTTTAACAGACAAGAGAAACAGCACAGGTAATTCGGGGATATAAAACATTCCTGGGTCCCGACTATGATGCAATGACCCATTTGGACACTGTCCAGGACACAGATCGAGCTGGCAGAGGTCTAAAGTTTTCCCACAAGGCAGCTGAAACCACAGCCAACCCCCAGATCCCAGGAGCAGAGAGAGGTATAAGGTTTCTTCAGAAGCCTGACTCAGACTTCAAGATTTTGCCACTGCAAAGAATTTTCAGCTCTGGACTCGCAGTTTTCAGGCGTGCAGCCACGGACACCTTTTAACACGCGTGTTCACTGAAAGAGGCGCAGCAGCGTTGCTGTGTGACTTACCACAGACCAGCTGAAGTCGCCTGCACAGACGGGTAACATCGCCCTAAACCAGAAGCAACTGAGCACTAAGCTTCCTGCACGTGCCCAACGATTCAAGCTGAGGAAAATCAGGCGATTCATGGGGGCTGTCAGAGGTCAGTGATGGAACGAGAGAGAAGGCAGGAGCTCAAGCCCCGTTTCATGCTACCTCGCTTTCAGGATGATGTTTAAACAGCTGTCCCCGCACAGCCAAGTGCTGGAGAGCACACGGACCTCATCTGCTCCAGGTCATCCACAGGTTCCTTTAAGAAAACAGCTTTTAAGATCTTCTCTTGCCTGTGAGCAGCAACGCTTTACCACTCACCTTTTGAATGTCTAATAATTCGGTTTGGTTTCACTTGCCTCAGTTTGAACAAACAGGAGTCTGAGCTTTTGCTCTGTTTGCGCACACACGGTCAGCTTCTGGATGCTGAGCCGTGACAAGCATGTTGGTTAGTGCTGCATGGGAAGAAAATGCTCCTATTCAAAAGACACTTCAGGTAAAAAAGAGCTTTAAACTATTTCTACTGACAGCAGCGTTCGCCATTCCTCTCCATCTTCCTTATAGAAGGCGTATATACAATTGGCCCCACTGCTACAGCTACAGCCTCGGTGTCTTATTAATCCCACACAGGGTAATTCAAAAGCAATTAAGATTCCAAAAGATTTCCTGGTAGTGCCCTAATTCATGCCGAGAAAGCAGTTCACTTTAGTTCAGCAGAGGCTCAAAAACCATGAGGAGCTGCCCAAACACACGGCCTCTCCGAACAAGGGACACAGTCCAGGTCTTCTGATCCCTGTATCAAGATCTTCGCGCTGCCGCTGCCCTCTCCGAGACCCTTTGAGAGTCCTTGTGCCGCTTCAGGTACTTTGTGTTTTACCTCACAGGGAACAGTCACGCTTACTGAGCTTCAATTTTGAAAACAGACAAACTTACAGGTTTTTCATTTTTATTGGATGCTTCCAACTTTATATCTAATAATATACAGATACTCGTTTTTCATTGTTCCATTCATATCCTCACGTAGTTCAGCCATTCTGTCACGTTAAAATAAAAAAAAAGCACAACTGAAATAAAATAAATTTGTAAGCTGGAAAAATACATTATAAACTTATATTCAAGAAACATTCTCTTTATAATTAAAAACCTACTTGTAATAATTAAAGTAGGATTTAAAGAAAAAAACTTGATTTTCATTTTTAAATAGGTGGCCTTTGTGTATACTTTTAATCATCTCATATGTACAAGCCCAACCAGTATCTCTGCCTACCTGTGACAGAATACCCGAAACAAAACAAAAAGACACTGAAAAGGAGTTTTTAAACAAAAAAAGATCAATATTCATTTTCCAGGAAAATACAGTATAATCAGAACTTTAAACACATGCTTCCCTCATCTGTATTAAGGCCTAAGAGACAGATGTGCTTTAATAAAAGCAGACAGTATGAAGAAAAGTCCTTCCACTTTTCTCTTCAAATTCCTGTAACAGCTCATCTATTTCATTTTCCATGTCTTCTGTGTGCTGTATCTAGAAGAGAAAAAATACTAAGCAACCAGACTCCAAGGATATGATGTAGTTTAGAAAAAACTGTAACAATTCAATGCTTTTGGCTTCCTGGGAAACCTAACCCAGCAGCAGGCTGTCCCAAACGTGAGCACTGGGAGCTCCGTGGAGATTCCCAGCATTCCCAAACTGCATCGTGTTTATCTGCACAGCCTTCCTTCTGCAACCCACTGAACTTAACTAGTCCTTTGCTGAGCAGGCAACATCCTCAGGAGATCACAAAGGGGAGCTGCAGAACAGCTACAAGCACACTGAACTGTCGGCTGGAATTTCAAGGCCTTGAACCCTCTTAGGCTTTTTGAATCTGGAAAGGATTTAAGGCTCAAATGGATCTCTCAGGCTGGGGTGAAAACAAAACAGCCTGTTGCTACAGTCGAATAGGTGAGCTCATCAACTCCACACCGACTCTGTCCTCACAGTTACACGGGCTATTTGGGGCGCAGCTTGTTTCAGTCGTACTTCAAGGGCTGCGGCCCTCAATGTGGGTGACAGAAAGCGCTGGTTTTCCCTCCCACACCACACACACAAGGTGGTACTATGAACTCCATCTACATGGGATGCTTTTCAAGCCTATTGTGATTCCGAACGTGACTCTGATGTTTAAATCCCACGTATTACAACTGCTTTTGAAAGGGATGTTTTGGCCATAAACGGCGTTTTGAGTACGGGCTCGACACGTGTAGCGGTTACGCGCAGCGCTCTGCGATCCTGCTCTTCCCCTCAGCTATCCATGCGCTCGTTTTGAACGCACAGAGCCCGCTTGTGACCGAGTTCATCGTTTCCCAATTCACCTGCTTGCACAACGGCTTCAAAAACAACCACGAGAATCAGGAAACTTGCGCCTCTTGACATGGATTTTACTTAAACAACCGTTGCAATATGCAGCACCTTCAAGGAGCCCCAAGCAAACCCCAACCCCTGTGCAGCCAGCAGGGTCCAAGGCACCCACGGGCAACGAGCCCTCTCTACTTACACACTGGCAGAGCTCACAGATAAGGAAAGCACCCAGGGTTGCCTCCTCATGGTTATCCTGAATGTCCACATTGATCACATGTACTGGCTGACATGTCTCCTGCTCTCTGGAATTTAAATCTATTTGAAAACAAAACACACGTAACAGCAAAACTTTGGGTGGAATGGCATCGTATTTTACACAAACTATTTGCAAGATTTTAAAAAATACATAGACATTGTCCACCTCTGCCTTCTCCAAACTTGTTTTTAGAAAACTGATTCTTTAATATTGTCTTAAACAGTAGTCCCTCTTGTTTCAAAAAGAAAAGATGGATTTTGGCAACAAAAGAATTCAGTTTTGTGGAAGGGTCACGACAGTTTATTTACTCTGGTCCAGAAAAGTTACCACCCGCCTTACTCTGACAGTCTTTAAAGACCAATATTGAGATTCCTGAAAGCCAAGAATGACCTTGGGCTCCCTCACCTGGAGAGGTTTAATTGCCTGTTTGGGTTTTTTTGTTTGTTTTTAGAATAAAAGCACTGTACATCTAACACTGAAAATCCAGCTGCAAGGTGAACTCCTACAAGTCAAGCACTGATAGTCACATGAGAAAGTTCTAGCTAATGTGTTCTGCTTATTAAGGGGGGAAGGGGGTAAAATAAAGCATCCTTTTCCTACTAATCCACCCGTGTATCATTGTTACGCCTCTCTAACATAACCTTCCTATCCCACACACTTGTTTTTGAGCTACAAGTTGTCCTTCCCTAATCTCATTCTGCAACTTCACTTTGACCTGTTGAGGCCTTCATTTTAAAATTCCAGCTTTCACATCGAGAGCCATTGGGGAGCACCCGAGCCGCCTTCTTTTCAGTCGTGAAGGGCGTTACCACAAAGTTAGAGATGCACAACTGGAAAAAAATCAGCAAGCGGTTGCTCTTCAGCTCCCCTCCTCAGGATACTCACCCAAAACATCCCAGTGAAAGCTGCTTTCTACGTGAGACATGCTGAACTTGCCGAAAATCCATTCAAGTCCCAGGGTGGCTGCTCTCAGAATTTACCAATTTCAAAGCACCTCACTTAAACATGCAGAACACTAACTGCTCAGCTGGCAAAGCCCAAATGTATCGTGCTCTGCACCTCTTGGGACAGGACCACTGAGGACTGAAAAAGCAAGGCAACAGCCTTTGACGTTATGGGTATGACACCAATTCGGGTGGCTGCTCTTTCAGTGCAGAGGAAACCCCTTAAACCTCACGTAAGGCTGTACCCAGCATTTCCAGAGAGGTTCTCAGCCCAGGAGCTAACTGAGTCACTGCTGAAACCCCATGACTTTCAAGGAGCTCACATCGAGCTTGCTGCATTGTATTCACGCAGAACCCAATCCCCAACTGAGACTCCTCTAGCGTATCTCACTGACTCATTTACAGGCAAAGCTGTAGCACGTTTGCAGTGTTAATCGTGCTCAAGAACAGTTTCTCCACCTGTACAGGAGGTCTTTACTGGGGGTAAACTGCTTGGTAGGTCACAGGAATAATTCTGCAGGGAAGGGAAGTTGCACAAGGAAGACAGCTTAGACTTTGGTTCTCCACCAACCCAGGGTGGAAAAACGCTCATCACGTACAACTTGCTAGTTTTCTAGATCCATGAGCATTTTCAAATCAAACACGTATTTTGAGTTTCTCCAAATGCTTGCCATTTCTGTATGTCAGCCCTTAGAATTACTGTACAAACACATTCTGTGTGGCTGCCAACACCAGCATCTTTTAGAAATAAGTATTCAGCCACCAGTTCTCCGGTACGTCAAGTCTACATCGACGGATTGCAAACTCCTGTCCCTGCTGGTGTTCCAGCAGCAGTCGTCAGAGATGTTTCCAGATTTGTGAAGGACTTCGGGGAGGAGGGGGAAAAAAAGCACTCAAAGTTAACTTGGTTTATCAGTTCAAGGTCCTTACCTTCTACTACTTGATCATAGACTCTTTCTTCACACGTTAGGATCAAATCAAAAACGTCTTTGCAGTTCTGGAATCTTTCTGGTCGTGGCTTGATTCTCTTATTTCTGTCCAACATGTGTAAAATCCCATTCTGTGTGTATCTGAAGTTGCTTGAGTTAAGTACCTTTACTTTAAGAAAAGTTATGTTTTTGAGCAAGTGACCAGTACAAGTTAAATTATTACTGTATCTTCAAAATACGATTCTTTCTGTTTGCAAATATAAAGATCAGTGACCACTAAATAGATTCCTAAGGTGGCAGCATGATCCCCATCAGGGTCATCCATACAGCTTCTGGTTTTCAGAGACCTGTCACTGTCAGGAGTAAAATGGCAGAGACAGCTTTAAAAGGCCCTCCTAAGAGCAGAGTTCCTCAAAAGGACAGCTTTTCTTGGGCAACTATTTTTATACCCATAGGGCTTAGAACGCACCGACTGTTTGCGTGAGCAGAATGTCCTACATTCACTTAAGTCCCTGCCCCTCACTCCAGGGGCCTCCGTCTCGAAAGTCAATTATATGGTGCTTTTCGTGTCAACTGCCCATCTGCAGGAAGTCCCACTCAGGCCTCAGGTTGATGCAACTGAACTTCCAAAGAAAGTTAAATAAATCACAGAAGCACAATCCCTTTAAAATATCCCAAGATATATAAATGGGAACGAGGAAAAACACTGACTTCATGCCTGTCAGAACTTCAGTCGCTGTGTGGAAGGAATCTGTTACACCGCTTGGTAGCTATATTTATGCTGGTACTGCAACCTTGAGGCTCCAATTTACATCCTGTATCCCCCTTTGAGACAGGTTTCACCAATCCCACTGTCTTCTCAGCCTTCTGGGACACGCCGTTTCATTAGGAGCACGCCAGGGTTGACTGTCACATAAATCTGTTCGCTTGACTAAAACCAAACTCCCTCTGAAAGCAGAGTTTTATGGGCAAATTAGGAATATCAGGAAAAGTTTGAATTAAGAAAGCCTGGAAACCGATGCATCTCTTCCTTGCTTTGAAGCAGCAGTATTTTTAGCCATCTAAGTACATATTTTTAAATTAAAATAGCAGGAAGGATAAGTCTATAATTTCTTGAGATAACAGAAGGATTCTGAGCAAAAAACACTTTCCATCATTAGTAGCAAGTATGTAAGAGGCTGTCGTGGATCATTTCCTCGTTGAAAAGGTCACATACACACCTAGTATGTTTAGGTATGCTATAAGCAGGTATCTTAATTCTTTTCAGAGAACAGCCCAACGACCAACAACCTTTCTGTCTACCTTTTTGTAGTTGCCCTCTGGTATCTCAAGTTCTACCGCCCTAGGTATCCAGGTCTGCACCTGCTCACTCATACGCTTCAGTCTTCTGGAACAGTTTTCAAGCAAACAGCCTTCAAAGCTTTTTAAGTCTTTCAAGGGTTTAAGCTGTATTAAAAATTAAACCCATCTTTTTACCTGTGCCTACTTTATATGGAAGGTACGTTCGGTTCTCTCATGTGTCTGCATTGTTGCACTTTTAACTACTTGATGGAAAAAACCTTCAGTTTTGTATCACAAACTGAATGATACATGGGCTATCACACGTACATGTTGTCAATTCTCTCTCAGCCAACTGACTTCCACTGCGTTTCTTTTCTTCAGGTCACCCCTGAGCCT